CCTTCTGGTAAAAGCCAGGATTGGTCTTCAAATAACGAAAAATTGCATCCCCCATGGGGATGACTGGTTAAACCCAGCAGTTCTTGAAACCTTCAATGAAGCCATGGAAGCTATATTTTAAGTGGCGTAGATCATGTCTTTTCTTGGTGCATCATGAGATCCTTTCGCTCTTCTCCCTCCCTATTTTTCTCTCCATATCCTCCGTCCTTCTTTTAACTCTGTGTGTGAGTGTGTGCGTGTGTGCGTCACACTCTGTATTTCTAGCTTTCACTCACTTCATATATAAATAAAATCTCAATGGTTAATTCAGCGTTTGTTTCCCCTGTTAGACATAGCAATAAAAGGATAAGTGAAAAGCATATGATTTTAAAGTTATGAAAGAAAACCATTACAGCGAGCCTTTGACAGCGAATCCCGGCAAATATTACTGAATGGTTAATGATTTTAATTATACAATAATGTTTGCTCCCTGAATCTTAACTTGGGAGTCGCCGGGGCATAGCGGCTAAACGCTCGCGTGCGGATCGGAAGGTCGTAGGTTCGCTCCCTGGCGAAGCCGGACATTTTCGTAAAAATGACTTTGACTCCCAGGTCTAACCAGCCTTCCGCTGGTACCGGGTGCAGTCCGGGAAGTAAAGGCGGCTGGCGTGATGCTGACCACATCACCCATCTTGTGCCGTTTGGTCTATAAAAATATAGGTCTATCCCTTTATGTCCTTTACTTTCTTATTTACTTTTGAATCTCAGCTTTCTACAAATACATTTTAACTATACTCACCAGTAAAGGAGACAATCGTCCCAGTGCGCCCGGCTTGTTGGATAAATTGAAAGTCCAAGTCACTCCTTCTGTTGATCCATATGTATCTGCAATGAGTGGAATTTTGAAGCGCTTAGCGACTTCAAGCCATATATCCTTTCTAAGACCGCCTCCAATGGCCACCCTGATATTGTGTTCTGCGTCCAGCTTGTTCTGTGAAAAAAAAGTTATTTTACAATAATTTAACACTCACTACTCAGGCTGACGTGGCGTGCATATATCGGAAGGTCGTGGGTTCGCTCCCTGGCGAAGTCGGACTTTTTTCAAAAATGACCTTGGCTCCCAGGTCGACCCACCCTAAGGTGGGTACCGGGTTCAGTCCTGGAAATTAAAGGCGGCTGTCGTGGTGCTGACCACATCAACCATCTTGTGCCGATTGGTCTATGAAAATATAGGTCTAGCTCTATTTGTCATAGACGCCTAAGGGCTTAGAAAAGGGACCTTTACGTTTTTTTACTTTTTACTTACCCAGGATGACTGATCGTAAAGACCACGCCTCCTCAATAGCGTGCCAGCTGTTAGTTTCTGGGCACACTGTAAACAACGAGAGCGCATTTCAGATTCTTCCAATTTCAGAGTGCTAAGATTTCTTGATGCCGCCACGATTGGTTACCTTTATCCTGAACTTTGTAAACATAATGACATGAGGGTAAACTTGAGGTTTCTAGAATCATTGTAAGACTTAATGAACCATTTCATTTACGTCTCTGTAACATACCTAACTTGCTCTTATTGCTTGAAGGCGTCTATAAGACCACTATGGTAACATGCGAATTATTTTCACAATTTCGGATCCATTCATGTCACTAATTATTGTCTCAGGTTTTTTTTTTTTTTTTTTTTTCGTTTCCTTTATTTATTTTACTCTTCATCATTCAGTTATGTAATTTTATGTTAGAACGCTTTCGCAATGTATGCCATTTCCAGCGACAATGTCTTTTCTTCACTTCTTGATTCTTGATTTGTCAATTTTAACCATGAGCTTCAGATTAGTGATTTTTTCAGACAGTTTTAAATGCTTCTTTACTGTTTTCGCTCCTTTCTGGCTGTGGAATGAGAGTCGCACTGTGGAACAGACTTGGCCACACTCCCCCCCCCCCTCCCCACACACACAGACGTTATATTCCTAAAGCCAACAGTAGATGCACATTTAGTCAAATTTATTTAATTATTATCACAAAGTGATGATAAGCATACCGGTGGTTGAGCAATCAGGTATCTGAACAGCTCCCCGATGTAGTGAATCACTGTAACTTTATGTCGCCTGCAGTCTGGCCAAAACTGACTTGCTGAGAATTTTTTCTTCAAAACAATTGTTGCACCTGTGTAACAACAATTATTTTTTTTTATTATTGCTAAATTCACTTGCAAAACGTCGTTATAAGTGAATCCCTGAATCTCACTACAGAAAGGGAGCAGCGATGGCTTAGTGGCAAGACATTCACCTGCCAGCTCAAAGGTCTAGGGCTGAAACCCGCATCAAGAAGGATTTTGTTTTCAAAATTTGCCACGGCTCCCAAATCGATCCAACAATATGAGTACAAGGTAAACTGAAAAGTGGCGGTGTGATATTGACCGTATCAACTATTGTGTGTCAATTGGTTTATAAATATTTAGGTCTAACATCCGATATCCGATGGGCCATTGGTGTAAAAAGGATACTTGACTTAATTTTTTTTTTTCAAACTAACAATTAAAAAAAACAACTTCGCACAGTGATCAGTAAGGGCGGATTATTCTCTTTCATTGTTTGGATTAAGCAACATTGTTCCACATCTTCACGTTATACTAAATCCTTGGTACGCGCACTAGCTTACTCACTACGTCCTGACATTAAACCATTGAAAATAGTTAGTCTTGATATTTTTCCTACATATATGGGTAGAAAATGTGTAGTTCCTTTTCCCAGCAAATGAGCTGAGTGCACAATTAAATTGGTATGCTTTTTTACTGTGCCCAATGTGGTTTGTGTTGTGAACTGCCGATTCAGTAATGTTAAGTGACCTAAAGCCTGAGAATTCGTAGCGACTTACTTGCTTGTGAAACACTGATCTGTTCTAAGTGCTGCTTCCATTGACGATGAGCTGCACTTCTAGTGCCGGGCAGTCAGTGTTAGCACTTCTGACGGCTGCCGTTTGCATTTAATGCGTATGTATGCTACAGACTTTGCTGAGACTGCAGTCTGTGTCAGTGCTATGAACAGTAATGGACGTTGAGTGTGGTTTCCGTTGGCATATAAATAGAGCTACTATGTAGGATCCGTTTGTTATGAAGTTAGAACTCTGATTGCCTGATAACCTCCATAATGTACTCCAATAAACGTGTACTTTGGGAGCATTTCAAAGAATTGCTTTTATGCCCCTTGAGGAGCCTAGATAGAGTACTATGATTATAACAGCTCCCAATCTGGTTAATAATTACACGGATAACGACAGTGTGTAATAGATAATAAAGTGCATAAAATTATCGTGCAGGAATATAATTTTCTACATAATTTTTTATAAACCTCTAACAAATCAAAAGAATATATTGAGACCTGTTTGGATGATCGCACCAAGTGCAAACCCAGCTGCAGAATGAAACAAAGGCAGGGCCACGTAGTATCTGTCCTCTTGCTTCAGTGATGTGAGACACTGGTAATTGCTGCTGCTTCTGCAAATCCTCCTGTGCGATATCAATGCTGGCTTTGGTGTTCCTATAAATGTGAGAAAAAAAACATTAATTACAAGATTCAGAGTTTATTTTAAAACGGTGTAAAAATACATACGTATATTATTTCACATCTGGGGGAAGAATGCATACAAAAATCAATAATTGACAATGTAAAAACTAATCAGTTTCTGAAACAAATAACACACACTTTTGACTTTGACACATGAAGGGTATATTTGTCTACCAAGATTGGTCAGCTCTAAACTTTGTCAAACGTGGATCCTTAATACAAAGAATGGGCGCAAAACATAACTACAGAGGTGAGATGTATCAGAGGAGCTGCAGGAGTTAGGACTAGAAATGAAACCAGTCATACAATTTATTTAAGAAAATCAGATGAGATGGTATAGCCATCTGACGAGAATGATAAAATATTATAATGAACACAGAGCAAGACCATACAAAAGATGTTATTATGGCATCAAAAACGGCTTTAAAGAAATAAAGATAATTTTTTTTTTAAACCATATATTGATTGGCACTTAAGAAAAAAAAAACAGGAAACCATTTGAAGGCAACAGGTTCGAGTCCTAGTATGGTAACTATAGCGTTCGATTTTTATGTTGTCTAGTGTGTCCTCTTGAGAACCGTGCTGTCTATATACTGGGCTCCCAATCGCCTAAGAGCTTTAACGTTCAACATAACTTTATCTGATATTTTTAGAGTTTTGACCCCTGCTTATCACACTTCCATTTCCTGTATTCACATGCGTCTTCGAGCTTCAACTAGCCAAGCATGTGGATATGTCTTTGCCAGACATCAGTTAAGTGATTTCTGTAAATTTCTATATGTGTTTGCAACCGTAACATTGTCTGTTTATGTCAGGTGCTGATGAAGGTCTACTAGCCACAACGTTCACTTGTCGTGCATGAGTGTGACAATGCGAAGCTGTCTGGTCCTACTTCTCTTTAGGTTTGATATCTTTTCACTGTGTTTTGATCTATTCGAGTGAGTTTAAAATAAATATTTCCTTCCGATCTGTAAGCAGAGTACTATCTTCTGAAAAACATGTGTAGAGCTCAAGCAGAGGCCACACACACACACAGACAAGAAGACACATGCACACACACACACACACACACACACACACACACACACACACAAACACACACGCACACAACCACTGGGATATACCAGACCGGTAGTGGACCTTCACATCTATAGGCAGAGATAGATTGCGCATTTTGGAAATGTATTGCAGCCAATAGTCATTGTAGAGATGAAACCTCACTATCGGACTGATATTTGAGATGTAATTCAAAGCTCTTTGTCAGATGTTGCTAAAATCTTTAAGTGTGCTTGCAACTTGCCTGTTGTACCGGACGTGT